ACGTCGCTTTTTTTCGCATCACTCTTGACGATCGTCAAGCTGAGCTATTGGCATGGGTCGTCGTACCCGTGAATCCGTCCGTCAACATTCTCCGCATTTCGGATTCAACGATAACTCAGGAACCGGTTTGGCCGCACATGTTTGTCAAACTTGGGTATAGTTGTTACTGCTAATGCTCGCCATATCCTAAACGTCCTATTTTGAAGCAGGCGGGCCAAGTTCCGACGTACTTTCTGAGCCACGGCAATTTTTGGCAAAAAACCGTGGGAATTGCCATTAGTACAGTTCAGGTTGCAACCGCGATTTTTGCTCATTCTTTGGTATTGAAGAATAAGGGCTCAGGGGTTTTTTTGATTCAAACCAAAAAAAAATATGCAAATTAGGAGGGTTTAGGCAGATTATAGTAGCATATTATAGTAGACACAAACCTCTGCTGGTGTCACAGCTCGTCTGGTTCGTTTTACAGAGAAATTTATTGAACAATCATCTTTAATGGCCAAATTGGTATTTCCTCTCTCCACCCGCCGATAAAGGAGCGGTCTATATTCAGAGTAAGCAGATTTACAAACGATGTCGGAACGCAGGCATCAACCTATTTATCAAACGCCATCGCTACAAAGCGGGTAGTGATGCGGCCATCTACGCGAGGTCTACGGACCCAGTGTGAGTTCATTTTGGTTTATAAATTAGTTATTGGGGCGAATATACGGCAGATAGCAATAGCATTCTAATAATGTAGCAGTCTATGGTTGCTCAACGTTATAAAACTGAACCTTCTTCTTACATCAGGGCTCATCATTGTGTCCTTTTTGATTGTGGTGAGGCTACAGTGTCATTGAACATCTTTTATTTTCCGGGCCGCAGGTCAAATATTTTGAGATTTCACAAGTTTTTAATCGTCCCTGTCGAGTATCAAATGACGGGGCCTTTTTTAGGCCCCACTGGTTTTGCTCCAAGCCGGCAAAGCCTGCCACTAACCTTCTGCGCACTGAAACTACACCATGCAACGTGCCCACTAAAAACAAAACCTTAAAACAAGCCATGGTAATGTGGCCACGTAACCAGTGTTGTACGTCTCCGAGAGGCACCGTCTTGGCCTGCGAGGCGCGCGGTCTGCGAGACCGTTTTCCTTTGTCTCGTCTCGGCTCTCGGCCTCGAGTGCGATGATCTGCGGACTCGGACGTCGGACCTCGAGCCTCCGGACTCGCGACTCGAGTCGAGGACCAGGCTCGCAGGCCCGACTAATAGCATGAGTATGTCATAGCTGCTGTTTGTCAGCGGCTTCAAATCGCAGCGGTGGGCCGAGTTTACAGCGCATTTACATTCGATCATTCGTATTCAACAGCTACGTGGCATGAAATCGTACACAGGCCGCGCGTTTAATTCAATCGTCTACTGCGGCTAGAGCAGCAAGCTAACGTTGTTTTTTTTTGCCTTGAAGGGTTATGACTGGTAAATCTCGCCTATGCCGGCTCTCCACGCTCTGCTAGACATGTCACAGCTGTCTGGCGACACCCATAGCAAGCAATTAAAGGACAATTGAAGTCAAATTTTATAACTTCTGTAACGTTTTTATACATAGAAATACATTCAATAACGTATTCCATTTCAAATCCGGTGCCCAATTAGTAAGAAACACGTGAATAATGTCAGGAACATAAATTCAAATCGTCCAGGTTTTTTGGATTTTTAACTAGTTGAGAAACAATCTTATCAGGTAAGAATTTGACGATACGTTTAGTCCCGTTAGTTCTTACTTTTAATGTAAAAAAATTGCCCATTTTTCTTTACAAATTTTACCATAGAAAATTCGTGACGTAGTCAATTTAAAAAATAATTCACCATAAGTATTTGATAGTAATAATTTTCTATATAAATTATTAGTTTATCTGACAGAGTACAGATGGCATTGCAAGGTGGTACTGTGGGCCATTGCTGCAGCAACACTAGCGAGACACACAAATTTAAGTGACGAGCTATAACATTGACATTCAGCATGTGGGCGAAAATAGAAAATAATGTATAATATTACAAATTACACACGAAGAAATTCAACGTGAAAATACCATTTGAGGGTTATTCATATAAGTTACCTTTTCGTTTTTACAATAATATCGACACGCGCATTGACAACGCAGCACATTGAAGTCTACGAACACACAGAGTGCAGGTGGAATGTAGCGGCTTACGATAGATATTTCTATATCTATAGATATATGAGATATCTTGAGATATATATAGATATCACTATCACAAGCGTTATGCAGCTTTAACACATAAACAAGCCACTCTGTTGGAACCGAAGAGGAGGACGCGCGCGAGCGAGCGAGACGCACGCAGCGCAGAGTTTAACTTCTTTCCCTTCTTCTTTCCACCACCCTAACCCCTTCTTTCCACCACCCTAACCCCTTCTTCTTTCCACCACCCTCCCCCTTCTTTCCACCACCCTAACCCCTTCTTCTGTCCACCACCCTCCCCCTTCTTTCCACCACCCTAACCCCTTCTTCTGTCCACCACCCTTCCCCTTTTTTCCACCACCCTTCTTTCCACCACCCTGCCCCTTCTTCTTGCTCCTTGCGTGCAGCATTTCACTTCTTTCCCTTCTTCTTTCCACCACCCTTCCCCTTCTTCTTGCTCTTCGCGCGCAGCATCTTTCGCACCTTGAACGACTTCCAGTATGCCTGTATGATGATTGCCGCACGCGCATTGAGAGCCATCTCCCTCGCTCGCCGCTCCCGGTCCTCGGCCTCGATCCGCCGCTCCTCGACGATCGCGCGATGCTGCGTCTCCAGCACGTCGTATCTGTCCTCCAGCTCCATGAGCTGATCGCTCTCCTCGCGATACTCACCGTAGATGCGCTCATAGGTGAACTGCGAACAAACGATCGTAGGTGAACTGCGAACAAACAGGCCGCGGCGGACGCGCACACATGCGTGGTCTAATCCCCGTGTAAGGGCGAGTACATCACTGTAGATGCGCTCGTAGGTGAACTGCGAACAAACGATCGTAGGTGAACTGCGAACAAACAGGCCGCGGCAGACGCGCACACATGCGTGTAAGACGCGGTCTAATCCCCGTGTAAGGGCGAGTACATCACTGTAGATGCGCTCGTAGGTGAACTGCGAACAAACGAGCCGTGATGGACGCGCACATTGGGATATTCTGTCGATTTTGCTGTGATTCCGTTATATTTTATACGCAAATTGTTTACATCATTGTTAACACGTCTTCATACATATCTCGATAGAGGTTAGATGTGACAGTGTAAAACTGGGTTGTGATAGTGTAAACCCAGCTTAAGACACGATCTAATGCTCACATAAAAACGAGTACCTCACCCGTGCGTGCGCGAGGGAGCGGGTAGCTTTGGCGGGCGAGGGCTGTTACGGAAACCGAGGGAACGGGAGTTGAGGAGGCATCACTGCACTCTGCCGGCGATGCCAAGAGACGCGCGGAGGCGGCTTACCTGTCTGTCACCCATGTCCTGATCGTACTTCTGCAGCCAGTTCTCCAACTCTGTCTCAATCTTAAACTTCCTCTAGAAAACAAAAACGAGCACGCTCCGAGTTGTTAAGTCGTTCGTGACTCCAGGACCCACACGAAACTTGCGCCAATACATTGCATCGATGCGAGCCCTTAACACGAGAACAGATACTAGAGCTTACCTTCCGCAGTGACAGTTCGCTGTCTCTGTGTTGCTGCCGTGTCTCCGCCAGCTGTGAAGCAAGCTGCTGCAGTTGCTGTACGAGTTGCTCCAACTTGAGCTCACTGTTTCGCTGATCACCAACTTCCTGCAACACCCGAGCGCGGGCCGGGAAACACAAGAGCATTGCTTCTCACAATGAACATATCTATATTCTGGTACAGATGTATGGTCACAGCATCAGTTTAGCTTGTTAAATGAGTGGTAAGAACAATGACAGACAATAATAACTGACACATACCTAGTTGTGTAGTACGGTAGAAAACAACAATGACATGCATACCTAGCTGTGTGGTTTGGGTGGTAACAACAATTCATATATATCCATACCTAGCTGTGTGGTACGGTAGATAACAACAATGACATATGCATGCCTAGCTGTGTGGTTTGGGTGGTAACAACAATGACATATATCCATACCTAGCTGTGTGGTATGGTAGATAACAACAATGACATATGCATGCCTAGCTGTGTGGTTTGGGTGGTAACAACAATGACATATATCCTTACCTAGCTGTGTAGTACGGTAGATAACAACAATGACATATGCATGCCTAGCTGTGTGGTTTGGGTGGTAACAACAATGACATATATCCATACCTAGCTGTGTGGTATGGTAGATAACAACAATGACATATATGCATGCCTAGCTCTGTGGTCTGTGTGGTGATAACAATGACACAGTCACTCATACCTGGCTCTGTGGTATAGGTGGTAACTACAATGATACAGTCACTCGTACCTGGCTGTGGGCTTCAGCTCGCGTGCGCTTCACAAAGTCCTCAGCCATCATCTTAATGCGGTTTAAATCAGCCTGCAGCTTCCTCACAATGTCGTTCCTCTTCTTTACCTGCAATCAGGGCAGCAGACTACGCAGATGCTGACGCGTCACCGTAGCTTCTTCCTTGCCGAGGAACCTGTGCGTGTGATAGCGTTCAGAACGCTACAGCACCGCACGCGAACGCTACAGTACCGCACGTGAACGCTATCTAGAGTGCTGCAGGTGAACGATAGAGTGCCGTGTACAGGCGAAGAGCTGGCGGTGTGTCGCTGCTTACTATATGCTCATGCCATACGTGGCAGCTACAAACTCATCTATAGAGCACCGACCGACACCTCGATACAGCAGGTGAAAATATAATTGGTATAAGATAACATAATATAAACATAACCCCATTGAGGAAACTGGCTCTACAGAAATCGTCTTTCATGAGCAGTTCAGATCCAGAAGAAGAGGTTGGACAAAGATGGCAGCAAGACAGATATAACCACTTCTTAGTTCTCGCTTCGCTAGTTTGATCCTATACGAAACACTAGCCTGTAGTTATTAATATGTAATTAACCCACTAGTTGTATTAGACTGCCTGTCCAACACACTGCATTGTTGTCCACTACCTCCCACGGTACCTATTGCAAGACGCTTTCCCACAGTAACAGACAGACAACAGCGATAGCGGAGATGTAAGAGGAGTAGCATTAATTGGTTAGACCTTACTAGCTTTATCTGGCTGTAGCAGCTGCAGGGTGGCAGCAGTGATGGAGAGATGTGAGGGGAATAGCAGTGATTGCAGTTATACCTCGCTAGCTTTATCCGACTGCAGCACCTCTAGCTCAGCTTCCAGCTTTGCCATGGTGACTTCATTCTTCTGGATCCTCTGTGATAACTCGCGATGCAGCGCTACGCTCTCTCTCTCTTCTATCGGAGAAGTCAGCAACCTACCGATGGGAGATGCATGTATCACGGCACACCCCAGCACTCTAGCTCCTAGGCAGGTGTAGTACTATGAAGCTAGAGCCACTCTGTTGCAAGCTAATTGTTAATGCATTCATCATCAGAAGCGTCACTCGTGTAACTGTCTTCAACTGGTTATTGAATCTCACATGTTCACTTTGGTAAATGTCCTGTATGATACGCTAAAGAAACTCTCTGCGTTAACATTACATAAAGCAAAGAATTTTTGTAACTACGGCCCTACTAAATGTGAACGGCAAATGTCATAATAAATAAATAATGAGAATGAATCCAATCGAACTTCGGTGATAAATGTTTACTCACATGTAATGTAAAGACGTGAAATCGAATCAATCGTGAATAGAAATTGGCAAACAAACATGAAGTCTCACTTGTTTCAATCCTAGTTTATGACCCCTAGGCTAGCTAATTGTAATGATGGCCTTTGTATTATGGTATGATTAGGGTTAGATTAGAGCTAGGCTAGGGTGAGATGGTAGAGTTAGGGGGTCAAAGTTATCAGAGTGGCTATATGCCCGGCAGACGGCATATATCTGACGGCTGCCAGGCACGGTCTTCGATTTCCTAAATGCCCGGCAGTTTTTAATTTTCAGCATTATCTCAGGTAAACAAGGGTTAGGGTTAGGGTTAAGGTTAGGGACTGCCGGGCATTTAGGAAATAGAAGACCGTGCCCGGCTGCCGGGCATATAGCCACTAGTGCAAAGTTATAGGGTTAGGAGTTAGGGATAGAGTGACAATGATCAAGATTTATGGTCGCGACGTAGAGCCGAGCCGTCTCTCGCTTTACCTCCAAACTCACCTTTCCAGCGCCATTGCTCTGAGCCTGCGGAGTTGTTCGATGAACGTCGTTACCGCGACCGTCGCCGCGGCAGCCTCCGCTCGGACGGCTTCCGTCGCGGCCGGGTTCGCCGCGAACAGTCTTAGTATGACCTTGCACAGCCGCGCCAGCTTCGCCTCTATGTCGCGCCGCTGCTCTGCGATCCGCCGCGTCGCGCCGACCTCAGCTCCCGTCAACGCGCTCGCCTGCTCCCCCGCCAGATCAGTCTCGTCGTCCGAGTCCGATGACCGCGCCTCAAAGATTTCGTCGTGCAGCTCCCGAAGCACCCGGTACTGGCTGAACGCTTCCGCCAGCTCGTCGCCGAGGGGGTCCGCCAACCTGTCCAGGTTCCTCAGCACGTGCGGGAAGAGCGACACGAGTGCCATCTTGTGGATGGTGTCGTCGACGACGGCAAGGACTCGCTGCGCTTCCACGGACGTCAGTTTCTTTCTGGCCGGATCCAGAACCGTAGTCGTCTGAGGTTTTGGAACGCTCAGCGCCTGGTTGAAGAGCGTGACAAGGTTCTTGTCCGAATCATCGCGCGCGTCATCTGCTGCCGGATTCGGCAAAGTGAAACTTTGACTAAAAGTGTTGTCATTGTCAATGACATTGTCATTGACAATGTCATCGTGGGTAGGCCTACCCTGAACGTCAATATCACCGCTAGCCATTGTGATACTTCGAGCTTTATACAAACATTTGGTGCGAATAGGCACGACCGACTAATAGTAATAATTACATACAACACGCAGGATTTAATAACACTAGAAAAATATAATACAGAAATAACAGTAGGCTAGGGCGCCGCCATTTATTTGTTTATCTGCCTGTTGCCAGGGTAGAGCGCACCCTATAAACAAGTTTGTACCCTGTACGGCGTTTTTTCAGTTCAAACACAGAGCGCTGCTGTCCTAGGGTAGCCCAATGAGGAAGTAAAACAAACATGGAAAGACTCAGGTCGGGCAGCCTGTTGTACGGGCACAGATTTCGTACTTATACTGGAGGTAAAGCGTTTTAACATGATTTTAGTGCTGTCAGTGAAACTTGTACGGCTCAAGGATAGAGAGCATGTCCAGTAACTATATAACTAACGTGTGATTTGTAGGATCAAGCGTGATACATTACAAACGATGCCAGCCCCCCAGGGTCGAAGTCTAGATTGTGAATTTGTGTCTAGATATGCACTTCAGTCAGTGTGATCAGTCACTTGAACAAATGATGGTACATAAACGCAAATTGTATTTATTACCAAAGTCTTAATGTCTATGTATTTCCTATCGGCTAACCGTAAATTCCGTTCAAGTGCGTCTGCATGCAACACACGGCAAAGGCGTCGGAAGCAATAAAATAGTGCCGCGGCTTTGGTGATAGGGCGAGCCCCGGGGAGGCGAAGCCACCCTAGGGGGGTCTGGGGGCATGCCCCCCCCGTGGAAATTTTGAAATCTACAAGGCAAATGGTGGGCTCTGGTGCATTCTGAGCATTGTGATTTAGCACAAAAAAGTGTTTCACTGTAATTTTAGAAAAATACATGATGATTTGAAAGATTTGTTGCTTAACATAAAATTAAAATATTCAATAATGACCAAAAACTCCAAATTTATTTTTCTCACTTTAACAGTGGAATAATCTTTGGTAAAACTTCCTGAAATACATTCCCATTCAAGACATGCATACAATTGTACTGGTGCTCACAAACGAACTGTTAATATTCATCATGAAACGCGCTGACCCCGGGCAAAGCATGCTCCCTCAATATAACGCAACGGCATGCTGCCTGCATAGAATCAGGAGTAGACGGGGAGCAGATGAATGTGTGCCAGAGTTCTGGATCATAAAATTTTATAGCTACAGGTGACCTGACCTCATCTGACCCTGGTCTCCGCTTATAGGGGCCTAGATTACACGTATATACATGATATATGTACCGGCCAAAAGACGGTATAAATTATTGAAAGATTTTGGTTACGGAAAATTTATGGCCTGAAAAAAGTGCCGCGGCAGTTCCGACGCCCTTGGCACACGGTCCACCGCACAAAGTGACAAACGTCATTGTGCGCAAACTCACAGAAATCTTCAGTTTCAGAATATTATATGCATACAATGATACATGATACACATTACAATACTAAGGCATATGAGAGTGTTTTGTTGGGAACGGTTGCCTGATAATTGTTCTGTGTATCGGTGAAGCTTATTAGTTAGAGTGGACCATACAGTGAAAGTATGAAATGATCATTATTAAAAAAATAACACGGCTTATCATAAAATAACATGTGACAAGTTATATTATCCGTTGGCGTTGTGACTACAAATTAAAAATTTTATACTAAAATGCTTTTACTTGAGTTGTTTTATACAAAAACTTAACATAAATACTCAGAAGAATGTCATTTGTATGTGAAGCCCCGACCTAACCTAGCTGTGCTGACAGTCGCCTTTATACTAGAAGTAGAACAAATGCACATAATAACAATTTTGATCAGTTCCTCGTTCAAAGTCCTATAATTATCCGTGGTCTAAGGTCTGTCCCTTGACTAACCTTTATATGTCGTGTTAACTGTGCACGTCAACTATAGCTTCTGAATTTTTAAAATAAAATGACAGTTATGATTTTGTAACGTATTCCTGCCTGTCTGCATTTGCAGAAGGCAACGATACGGAGCATCTGTCATCGTCGTCAGCAACTGTCTGCCAATTCCTGTACGATGTTCCCCTTAACGAGACAGAGTTTGATGAGGAGATGGCCCCCGAGAAACAAGTGTACCTGCAGCGCAGGTGGCATGCTAATTATCACGAAGCTGCCATATATCTACAGGTGAGTTATCAATCTACAGGTGAATTATTAATCTAAAGGTGAGTCATTAATTACTGCACAGATTAGAAATTAATCTATCTACAGACGAGACCTTAATCTACAGTTGAGTCATTAATTACTGCGCAGATTAGACATTAATCTATCTACAGACGAGACCTTAATCTACAGTTGAGTCATTAATTACTGCGCAGATTAGACATTAATCTACAGACAGACCTTTAATCTAGCAGTTTAGTCATAATTACTGGCCCCAGGATTAACCGATTAAATATATCTACAAGTACGAGACGCTTTAATCCTCCAGTGTGAGTCATTCACTTGTACTGTGGGGCAGCAGATTATGACAATTAACTATCACAGACGGAGACGTTAATTACTAACAGTTAGTCATTAATTACTGGCGCGCAATTAGACATTAATCTACAACTGAGATATTATTATATCTACAACTGAGATATTATCTATCTACAAGTAAGACATTATTCATCTACTAGTAAGACGTTATTCTATCTACAAGTAAGACATTATTCTATCTACAAGTTAGACATTATTCCATCTACAAGTGAGAAATTATTCATCAACAAGTGAGACATTATCCATCTACAAGTGAGACATGCATATGCAAGTGAGACATGCATCTGCCCTACGTGTACTACAACATTTTCGCGCTTTCCTGTGTTTCAGGAAGGAGAGACAATGTGAAAGTTTGACGCTCATCCTGCGAGCAGGAAAGCCCTGCCAGCCTACCTCGTAGTGCACACGGATGGTTCTATTGCCTTGATCTGTTTGCTTCCGTCATACTCATGGCTCTCGCTATGTGCGAAAAACCAGCAGTGCATCTGTTTGAAGCACCTGTATGGGTATGAAACCTGTATAATGTAACCCCTGTTTGGGTTACTTATATCTAATATATCTAACCTAGCAGCACCTGCATTGTTGGTACAAACTTGTATATTCTAGCACCTGTATTAGTAGAAATGTATATAATCTAGCACCTGTGTGGATGTGGTAATAGTATTACATTGGCACATTTTACAACAACATTAGCTTTAGTCGTAACAAGTTAATATGTATATTATATAATACTTATAAAGAGCTCATAATAGAGAAGAGAGACACGTTTAAACAGCGTTTGCATAGTGTTTTAACTTGTAAATATTCTAATCACATATGTGAATAAATATATTCAAACTTTAACCTTGTTTCGTCTATGAATTCTCCCTTAACATATGACACGTCAAATTTACCTGAAATGCGTATGTGTTCATCAAAAAGTCTTTGAATACGACACGAGTTTCAGCACAGTTTTCCCAAAATTTTTGCCATGTATCGGCAGCAATTGTTGATATGCGGCGGCAGCAACCTGAGGTTGTAACAGCGGGACAGCTGGGGCTGTTGGGGATATTAAGGTAAGCACGATACAGCACTCTGTTGCGCTCCTATCATCAGGAACACGATGGAACTACAGCTGAAAATCAGCTGATATCTCGCCGTGAGCGACACATTTTATTTTCTAGCCTGCTGGAAACGCTATCACGAGCCTGATACACAATTAATCGCCTATATCCCCAACCTGCAGCCCCCAGCGTGTCCATCAAGACTAATAGAACACTAATCGCGATATAATTTGTCGCCGATAGATCAAACATTTGAAAAAGCTGTGAAATCCAGTGTCGTATCACAAGACTTTTTGAAGAACAGCTACGATTTCAAGGGTAAATTTGTGGCTGTCATATGAATAAGGAAGATGCCATAGAGTAAAACAGAGGTAAAGTTTGAATATATTTATTCACATATTGATAGAATATTTACAAGATGAAAACTATGCAAAACGCTGTTAAAACGGTGTCAAACTCTTCTCTATTATGAGCGCTTGATATGTATATATATATATATACATATATACATCAAGGGTACCGTAATAAAATTTTTTATATCATGGTAGGCTATACTCTTGATATACATATATATGATATTACATAAGAGGTTCATGTATTTATTGCGGCTGCACTATACTTATGTACGAGTTGTTTGCTAGCTGATAGCCGTGCTGTGATTAACATTCTCTCTATCTCTGCGTGCAGATTCATGGCTCCATTGAGCTGTTGGGACTCGTGATAATCTCCCTGGAGTTGCTGATGAAGCTGCAGTGGCTCGGAGTGAAGCAGTTCTTCTCACACAAACGCACACTGCTCAAGGTAACAACTAACATTTAATCGTGAGAGTACTGTATACGCCATATTTTTTGTGTACAGATATTTTCGCGAATTCAGACTTGATGGACAATTTTGCGAGTGGTTAATTTCGCGGTCGGTGGATTATGTATTATTCGGTATGAATTATTTGCGTGTTGTTATTTTTGCGGTCGGGGACGCGTTCGCGAAATTTGCGAAAATTAAACCACCGCGAAATATACAGCGTATACAGTAACCCTCACCTCTCCCATACGTCGTTGCTAGGTGGGTGAAGCCCGCTGTAACAATCTCAGATCTGGTAATACACCATCTGGTGCTGCCATCTGTAGTTGGGGATTGCATCATGGCGGCTGAGCATTAATGGGAATAAAAATAGTTGTAGTAAATTATATCGTTCTACAGCCTTGTTGTATGATACAAACACGCACTGAAACACCCGCCAAGTTAAGACGTGTTTTTCATGCGACCACGCTGAATTGTCGACTTTGCAGCCCTTCCTTACTAAGCAGTGTTGTTTACGATGTTCCTTTTGCAACGATGTTTGTCTAGAGTTACCTGCCGGTCACACCAGGTGGATATGTCAATGACAGTGCAGGGGTAGAAATTAATTTTTGAACAAGGGAGTCCTCAAAAGCAGGGAGTCGCAGCAAAATGAGGGAGTTTGCAATTT